TCCCTTGAGAATAACAAATTAGAACAAAATTAAAATATTACATCTGGCCAAAACAAAATAAATCGAAAAAAAGAAATAATGTAAAAAAAATATAAGGTAAAAACTCTATATACAAAACAAACTAAACTATATACAAAACCATTAATACTATGACAAGAAACTTAAAGCTATTTAGACCAGTATACACTTTTCCGAGAAAAATAAAGAATTAAAAAATTAAAATATATCAAATTCTCTATTAAAATCCGCTCGAATGGTTAGCAAGTATCTGACTGTTTTTGTGATAGGAATTGGAATAGGAGGGATTTGAATGTGAATATGGAGGGGGAATGTCGAATTTTGATAGGGAGGGAATTCCAGAAATTGACAGAGCGAACAATAAAGGAATTTTGGAATGAGGCAGATCTGTGAGAAGGCATGTAAAGGTCAGAAGGTCGAGATCTTGTGGACAGGCAATGGACTGAGGATTTGAACTGGAGAAGGTTGTAGGCGTAAGAAGGACGATGGTTGTTGATGATTTGGTAAAAAAATAACAAATTTAACAAAGAACCAAATTTAGAGACCGATTGGTTCTTATATAGACAATTATATATTGCAAATTCTAGAGTTGGAAAACCAGACAATCTCTATATCTATATAAAGAGATACATAAAATATATTAGAAACATCTAATTTATTTTCTATTTCTTTTTTTATTTAAACAGAATGAGCCATAGCAACGCGTGGCCGGGTACAGCTAGTATTAAATAGACACGGTTTGCCAATCTCCAGGTGAAAACGTTTAGTGTTGCCCAAATGAAAGACCGAGGAGAGTCTTGGTCTTGCAAATTCAGTTTTGGTCTAGAGTCTTGAAACAGTCTTTCAGCTACCTATTAGCTTAGTAATATAGAGATATTACTGTATTTTTTTAGAAAGGATAAACCTAACTAAGCCCAAATGAAAAATTAGAAGTGTTAAATGCAAAAGTATATTGGTTATACCAATTCTTTATATATAGTAACTAAAATTGTCAAGCATTGCTAATCATTTTGCCCTAAATTTTATTTTAAAAATCGATTTTTTTTTTTAACGACCTTGGTCTTGGTCTTGTAACAGTGAGGCTGTCTTAGTCTTGGTCTTGCAAAATTGCAAACAGTAAAAACGCTCCATTTCTGGAAATTTTCGTTTATAAAAAAAAGTTGTAGGTTGCTATCTGATGAATTCATTCATGAAATTTTAGATGGATGTTAATAATATGATAAAAAGGAGTTCTGTGCCGCGGACTAGTACCTACAAGGGTAAGATTCTGGCGGGAAGTTCAAACTTTGACAAAGGAGTGAGAATCGGATTTTGGGAGTGAAACAATTTTTGACCAGCGTGTTACATTAGAGAATTTTCCTTTCCTTAATTCTCAAAAATGGTTGAAAAGTAATATACCGTCCGGCTCAATACCGTAAGTCAATTCTAGGCTTGACATGTCATTGTTACCTTCAAAAAATGCCATCTTGTACTTAACAATCGGGTGGTTTTAGTTCGTGGCACATACCCCTTTTTATCGAATTGTTAAAATCTGTCTGAAACTTTTTAAATAGTTTCATCTCATCGTAACCTACAACTATTTTATTTACGAAAACTCTTGGATTGGGGCGTTTTCAATCTGGAGGGGGAGCAAACTTTGTCTAATGAATTAAGTACTAAAAACACGTAAATACACATTTGCTTTCTACTTGCATCGTAAGATAATTTGATCACAAAATCGAGAAAAAAAGTGGCCTTCAAAAATATTGAGCAGTTTCTCCTATATAAACTCGTTATTTTGAAAATTTGGGATGTAGGTTACGCCAATATTTTTGAAGGCCACCTTTTTTCTCGATTTTGTGATCAAATTATCATACGATGCAAGTAGAAAGCAAATGGGTATTTACGAGTTTTTAGTGCTTAATTAAATAGACAAAATTTGTCCCTCTCCAGATTGAAAACGCCCTAATTCCAAAAGTTTTCGTAAATAAAATAGTTCCAGGTTACGATGAGATGAGATGAGATGAGATGAAAGTTTCAGGCGGATGTTAACAATTCGATAGTTAACGAATCGGAGACAGTGGAGACTTTATAAATAATGGTTTTTATCCATAATGTTACAAATGGCATCTAAAATATAATATAAGTAATATAGTATGGATATATGAGTTGACTACATCAGTTCACTCCAGGTCTTCTACATTAAAGAGTCTGACTCAAGAATGCAACTGTATGAGTGAGTTGGTCTGAGAATTATAGGGGTTATATGCTCAGGAATAATAGGGGGGATGAATCAATTTTGGTTGGTAGATAACTATTTCCAAGCTATCAGATAACTATTTCTAAGCTATCAGAGATAGCTTGACCTGGCTATCGAGGGCTTTGATAAAGGTCAATGAATGATTAAATGATTAAATTAAATAAAAGTTAATATTAATAGCTGTTACAGATTAAGTCCATTCCGTAACTGATAAAAAGGGGTCTGTGCCACGAACTAAAACCATCATGGTAAAGATTTTTGGGTATGCTTAAGTTAAAACTTCCAGACCGCAGTTCCTCCTTGGTGTTTTCCTTTTCCTAGTCCTTAGAGCGTAAAAAAACTTCCTACGCATTTATCATTTCCTTTACTCTCTAAATAGTAGATCTCAAGTTGTTGATTTATATATCCTCTTCCAACCCGCAGGGGCTAGCTTAGTGCAAAGCTAGTGGGGATTAACGTTCCTCCGGTTCCCGAGTTCAGTACACAGCACTAACACACTCAGAACAGTACACAAATCACTTACACTAACATAAGGTTACAGTCAGTACACACCCTAGGATCACCTTCCTCGAGTAAGTCAGGGTGCTCCGAAGAGGCAGCCCTCTACCTGACTCGGGAGAAGTGGGCTGATACCCTGCTTTTTCTTAAAGTCTAAAATATTACAGAAAACAGAATGAATAGAGCTGGGCCGATTTTTTGAATTGCTACCTGGAACATTCGAGGTCTAACCAGAAAGGAGAACTAGCTTGTGAAGGAAGTTAAGAAAGGAAAGGAACAATTTAAAATCCATGATTACACATTATTATATTCAGGAATTAACAGGAATGAAAGAGCAGCTGGAGGAGTCGTGTTCTTGTTCCATAATGACCTGGTTTCAGTAATAAAGGCATGGAAGTTTGTACATGACCGAATCATGGTGTTGGATATTGCGGAGGGAGAGAAGATTCATTCAATCATTGTCGTCTATTGGCCTAACAAAAAAGCAAGAATGGAAGAAAAGGATTTCTTTTTTAGTTCCCTACAAAAAGAAGTAGATGAATGCGAGTGTATGCCTACAGTCTTGGGAGACCTGAACAGCTTAGTTGGTTGTGAACATGAGAAGTGACACATAACTTTAGGAAGGTATAGGGAAAACTTTCTAAACGAGAATAGAGAAAGAATTCTAAATTTCTGTTAAAAAAAAAATAAAAAATAAGCCTTAACCGAACCGCGGTAGAAGGGGGTATGATTAAGATGATGATATCCTCTTCCATAGCACCACTTCCTTCAGCAAGTCTTTCCTCATTCGTGCTACCTTCATATTTTAGAACTCTTGTCACATGTCTTCAGCTAGTACTTTTAACCTACTAATTCTGACATTAAAAAGGAGGTCATACCATTGATCTTCGAATAATTTGATTTTGACTTAAATAAATGATATTCTTATTTTTTTTTTTTTTTAATATGTCACTCAAATGTTATCATTTTATATTTAGGTGTGATAAGTTTTAAATTATTGTATTCTATTTTCGAAATCACAGAACTTAAGTAAACTAAAATTGTCTACGGATAGAAAAATTGCTAAGTTTAATTTTCGATTTTATTTCTCTCGCACCTATTCTAAGTTTGTTCTTGTACATAGCCTCTTATTTACGTTTTTGATTTGTTCTATGGTCTGAATATTCAACTTCTACTTCATATTTTGCAGTTTAAGGAAGATTTAGGTTCTCATAACAATGTCTTGACTATTTATATTCTTTCTAATAAGGCGGTGGGCTCACGCTTCTTTTTGTTTTGAACTTACATTAAAACTTAAGATAAATTAACATTGAAAAAACTTTTGCCAAGTTGGTTCAATACTGGATTAGTTATATTTTTCACTGATAAAATTTGGAATTCTTTTCATTTATGAAATTATTTACTTTGGTATTTTTAGTTCCTCTTAAAGTACTTTTATGTTTTAACCCTTTCCATGGCCGTTTTATTGGCCACCTTTCTTAAAATTTCATTTTAAAATAACTGTAGTTGTTTTTGATAAATGAGAACAATGAGCTGCCATAAAATAGTGTTGGTCGTATTAATCCTTTATAGATTAAAACCTTTAAACACTTTGAAATTTCAATTCTAAGTTTCAAAATTTTAATGGAATTTATAGGGTCTGGTAGAAATCGGAAATATTGTGTAGGTTGACGAATGGCGAATGACAATTCAACATTTTAAACTTATTTTTTTTAACTTTTGCAATTTATTGAAATTATCAACTTATCAGATTTGCGCCATCAAAATTTTTGAGGGAAACACATTTTGAACGGTTTTCAATTTTTGAGAGGACTCTTTTCGTCGCGGTTATGAATTTTTGAGAGGACTCTTTTCGACGCGGTTTTGAATTTTTAGAATGTAATTTTCAAACCAGGTTACAAAAAGAAAACAAGTAACAGACTGTATAAAGTTTAATTGTATATGGTCTACGATTTTTTAAATTATATTTTTGCTTCCACTCTTTTTAAGAAGGATAAAGCAATAAAATATCTTGGATAGAGAGGAGAGGTTCATGCGTCATCGACCCTGGGGGGAGGGAATGTGTACTCCTATAGCTGATATGTTGTATGTAGATAAAGCTTAATAGTTTATTGGGATATTTCTTTTAAACACAAAATTATTAATGGGAAATAGTTCAGCATTGCCTTCAAACAGCATATGACACTTGGAAAAATGGCCCATATAATAGTGAAAGGGAAAACCAATAAAAAACAATTCATCAAGACGAATATATTTTAATTTTATTTATTATATATAAAAGTTTTATAACAAATATACATATAAATACAATATATAACTACAGAAATTTTTGTTAATAAAGATTACCTAAAACTGGCATATTCTCACATCATGAAATTACTCTAAAAATTTGTACTCGAGTCAATTTTAATTGACCCCTTCCATCTCAATTGTGCGTAAACATACATGCTGTGTAATGGTCACTCTTAAAAGGCTGAACCATCAAACAATTTTTACTAAATAATATAAACTTTTAAAAAGTTTACAAAGATAAATTTACAAACAACGTTAAATGAGTAATTATTATTATTATTATTTGTCATAATGAAAAATTAAGTAATATATTTTAACATGCTCTAACTTTGATTTTAAATCAAGATAACAATATTGCACTAATGCTTTTAGTAAAACATTTTTTTTTTTTTTATAAGAAGAAACAACTATATAAAAGACTAAATATACTTTAAAAAAAATTAAATTAAAAAAATAATAACTTATAACAGTATAAATACATAATATACAAAAGAAAACATAACATGATTTACATCATAATGATTATGTCAACTAAAGAGCCTTATTTTTTCAAGAGCCGTCTTTGGTTCTTTGAGGTAGAAGAAAAATAAAAAAAATGTCGGAAAACAAAATGAAAAATCAAAACAAATTATGTTTTACATATTATGTTCTGGACACTAAATAAATAAATAATTAATATTTACTAATTATTTTCACTATTAGACAATACTATTTCTCCGAGTAATTTTCTATAGAATTGTTAACAGATTTTTCTTTGAACACATTCATAAGTTTAGCTAAATTTAATTTCAGAATTAATAAATTGGCAGGTTTATATATTCACTATGTTATCATTACTATGATTAGTAGCTTTAAGTTTTTCCTGCATCTGAGCAAGCATGTCTTGCATTCTCCGAATCTGAAAAAAAAAATTATATAATATAATAATAATATTAAAAATAATAAGATTACTATGAAGTGGATTGGTAAAAGAAAACAATATAAAATAACACTAATAGTTTATCTGTTCTGAGTTATATTTTAACCAAAATATTTTACCTTTAAAATATGTACTAAAGCCAAAGTGAATATAAGAATATTTTATGAAATTAACCACCGAAGAATGTGCAATTGACTACATGTTACTTATAAAATAATAAATTGCAAAAAGGGATTTGCAGGGATTGAGGGTCATACATCCATTAGTTCTATAAATCAAAGAATTAAATTATTTTATAGATGTTAATAAATAAACAACTAAGAAATAAATAAATAGGAGAAAAGGAATAGTGAAACATATTTTAGATAAAAAATAGTAAGTTTATCAATTAATATGTACCTGTTATAATTCAGCATTAGAAACATGAAAAATTCTGTCAGTGGGAACGTTGGGTCAAACATTAGGGAATGTTCAGTTATAAAATTATTTTTACTAAATTAAAAATATCTTAAGGTTTTTGAAAATAAAGTACTGTAAATAATATTTTGACCAAAGAAGTGGTTGTTAACCAGAGAATTTAGACATTTGCACAACGCCGAACTGCGTGAACTGTATCCAGTTTATAAAATTAAGGTGATTACATTGTGTCGAATAAAGTGGGCATAGTATTGCTGGATGTAGTAACAAAAGAATCTCTAAAAGTTTAATATTTATTGTGGCAATATGCCTGATGGGTGGACCCAAGCGAAGATGGGAAGATTACGTTAAGGTTGATCTGACAGGGATGGATTTGGACCGTAACCAGTGGGAGGTGTACAGACAGTAATTGGAGATGTCGGCAATGAACCTTCGGGTTCTCTAAGTCTTTTATTATTTATTTATAAATAAACCCATCTTCTAATATAAATCACATAGTATTTTGTCGTATAGTATTACTTTCACTTACACATTTATGAAATTTAAAGTAAGAGAAAGTGTTAGGTTCATAAATAAATTTGGATCTTAATTTTCAAAGGAAATACACATTTCAAGGTCCTTAGTGTCCAAATAATCAAAAATAAAAATATCTACGGCACTAAAATTCAGTATTAAAGTTAGGTATATGTCCGAGATGTTATAGCAACTTTTTCACTGAAATCAGCTTACTGGAAGTAAACCTGTAATCATTGATTACACATTTACACAATTTATTTTTTTTTTATAAAGGCACTAATGATTTTGATTAAACTGATGTGGATATGAAATTGAATGATCTTTAACATCATGTAGATATTAAGCTCATTAAAATAGTATGATAGAGCTTAAATACTGTATTTTCCAAAGACAAAATAATATGAAATGCAGGAAAAATATTTTTAAAAAGTTTTATTTAAATAATCATTTAAGTATTGACAAATATGAGTATATCTACATTACTAAAGCAAACACAATGGAAACATTTCTTGCTATAATGTTCGTTCATTCATTACTAACTAAAAGCTTATGTATTATTTCAATGGTTTTTATAAATTTATAATAACTTTGACGATATGTGGGTGGGTAGCCGAGCAGACTAACATGTTTGCAAAATATGAGATGTCCAGAAACCTGATTAACCTAAGATTACGAGTTCCTGGTGTCAGAGGGTTTTTAACTCTTTCATTAATCCTCTGACCCCAGGAAACCTTTGTATTTCGCCGAAAAGACGAGGAAGGGGAGAAAAAAAAAGTATTACAATGTAACAGATTTCACAAACTTGACAGGAAGAGAGTTTTTTTAAAAACAGACTTCTCTCCAAATAAAAGTGGACTTAGTATTATTTAAAAGCATAAAACTCATTTTACAATTGGTGTCAGACATAGTTCTTAAAAAAGCAAAACAAGTTAAATAGATATTTGTAAAAATGGACATAGTGTCCTTAAATCTCTGGGTTACATATGTATAATTGAGATCTTCAGGTTGAATAAACTTGAATAAAAATCTAACAAAAATTTACTTATTCTTGATGTATCGAACATATTACTTATAATGTTTATAAATTATTTATCAAATGGGAATATATAAGGAAAATATTTTTCTTTTCTTTTTTAATGACCATGGATATGGTCAAAACACAAAGAATGGTAAATATATGTGGCATTTTTACATATCTTTATTTAATTTGAAAAATTCACCTCAATAGAAAAATAAATCTTTTATTCATATCACATATATGATAGATCTCATTATTCCTAAAATAATTTTCCTATTATATCTTAAAAAATATAATAAAACAATAAAATAAAATTATATATTACCCTCATGCAATTAATATTGTTAATCTAAGAGTTTAGAAGAGGTTTAGAGTAAAAACAGGCACTAAATTGAACAAGAAAAGGGAAAGAAAAATAAACAAGGAATAGTAATAATGAAAAGCCTCTGATTAAAGGACTTAAGCAAGCAAATTTATACTAAGAGTTTAATTTTTTTAAATGCTTTATCAAAATGAGTATATATTTCCGGTCTTGTAAAATTTCTGTCCAAGGGGGAAAAATAGGTTTTCAAAAATATGTAATCACAAATCTTGTCAATTTGATTGATTTTAAATTACAATAATTGTAATTTAATAAATAAATAATGTTTTATTAGATTAATGCCTAATTTATACCTACATCTAAAATCACAAGAGTGATTGGAAGATTCTTTAATTAGCTATAATTTTAAAGAGTATTTCTTCAAAGTATAGAAAAGTCTGTTTTGTTCTTACAGCACCATTTATGATGAAAATAACTATAGTTTCTGGATAGTACTTTTTCAGATGAATAAGAATTTCAAAAGCTAGATAATTAGAAAATATATACTGTTTTGTTGTTATTTTCAAAACCAATAAATATAAATATTAACCAATAGATACATCTAAAAAGAGTTAACATTTTTGTCCAAAATAAGAAAATGTCACTCCAGGCTTTTGTTTTGAATGTGACAGTAAAAAATAATTTGTTCACTATTCAGAGATATTCAGTTCACTTAAAAAAATAAAATTAATTTTTCCGCCTACTTTTTTATGGAAAACAAATATTCTTTGAGAAATTTGATGCTTACTTTAAGTTTAGCTCATGAAACTTCCAAAACTCAACAGATATTGATTTTGGTCAGAAGCCATACCCATTTTTTAATGCAATATAAATAACATTTTAATTGCTTTATATATAATTGGTATTTATCTAATAACAAAAGGTATTTATGGATAATTTTAAATATTTAGATAAAGAAAAAAGATTCAGTCAAACTATTATCTACAAGGTGCAATAAAATCACTCTGTTTCATTACTACTATCATAAAAAATCACACTGCCTGCCATGTGTAGAGAAGCAGAAAAATGAGATTAATAGCAATGTGGTGTTAGAAAATAAATACAATTTATCTATTTTTACTTGTTAACCCTATATATATATGATTTTATTTTTTTATATTAGTATTTTTTGTAGTATAAAGATTTTCATGTTGAGGAACCTTTAAGCTCGTTTCATTTTTCTATTTTTTTATCACATATATGATTATATCTAAGATTTTCTCCTTAATTTTCTTTTTTTTTTTAATCTAACTGGTGGATGTTTCAAAACAATTCATTTATGACCATTTATATAAAATAACCATATAATCTCCATCAACCCTATATATATTTCCTATTTCAAAATAACATTATGATAAAAAAAATTATGACGAATCTTTAAAAAAAAATAATATGATAGAAGGATGAGATACTGTCTGAAGATGGAATAAGAAAGTGATCCCAAAACTTCATAAAGTAAAGAAAATTGTTGGAAGAGTAAATACTGTTATTAAAAATTATTTATTTGTTTTCATCTGACTATAGACATAAAAAGCATTTTCACCCGTGATGTAACAAATATTTTAAAAAAAAGTAAGAATACTATATTAAATTTTTGGTAATATCTCATAAACAAAACAAAAAAAATAAATTAAAAATGGTTTATTATAGTGTTACCTCGCGCGGGCTCATTACCGCGTATGGGGAGCGTTCCATGGTCGATGGAAATTCCTTGGAAGTTCCTCCCGGCTAAGTCCGATGGACTCGTTGACCAACAATGAGAGGGGCCCTCCAGACTTGCTGGAGGGAGGGGACCTCCAGACTTGCTGGAGGTAGGGGCCCACCAGACTTGCTAGAGGGTGTGACGTAGGATTGAACGCCCTACTCACATATCTTTAGTTCACCAAATAGTCATGAATCTCCCTAAGGTAAAACGCTCATTATCCGGAGGTAAACTAGTCCCCCGTTCGGGTCTCAGGGTGAGGACTGCTTTAGGGGATTCATGGCGCAAGTTGAAATGGTGGTGTCGGCATCGAACCTTCGGGTTCGCTAAGCCTTTTATTATTATTATTAATATTATTATTATTATTATGTTATGAAATAACGCTCTTCATAATAAGTAGCAGATTTTCAATTTAGCAATTTAAAAATATTTGAACTATGGCTTTAGATTATTTATAACAAACTGTAGATTATTGGTTTTCATTTCCTATCTATAAGATAAAGAACGACAAAATAAAATTAAAATAAATACTAATCTAATAAATAGGTTATTTATAACAAATTGTAGATTATTGGTTTTCATTTCCTATCTATAAGATAAAGAACGATAAAATAAAAATAAAATAAATACATCAAAAGCAATAAGCTAACTCTAGATATATAATAGAAACTACAATGCAATGTCAATCCATCCCAATGCTTTTATATTACCTTCATACATTAAAGATAAGCAGATGATCAAGGAGAAAGTTATGAGAAATATAAATTTAAATGTTATAAAGCAAAATAGCCAGTGTATGATTTAGTGACTTATGTAACCATATTTTAAAGTTTGTTTAAAATAAGTGCTGTTTGCCCTTTTCTTTTCAAAGAAAAGTTTATCAAAGCATAGCGTAAACTAAAACAAAGAATCAGTTATCAGAGAGTCTATTGAAGACGCAGTGCTATCAAATAGAATAAGCTTATGATGCAATAGCCGCATTATTATAGCATATTGTATAAACACTTATTAGCTACCTCATTGCCAGAGACTGGATTTTTATTAAATGACATTGACAATTTTTTTTCTTCAAGTCATATAAACATTTTTCCTAGTTTGTTCATTTAGATGTGATTAACTTTTTTTTTTTCATATATCCCGATAAAATTTTAACTATTAAATTTTTGTAATGAGATATTAAGTTTAGTCTGATACAGTAGTCAGTTTGCGTTATATTATTATATGATATAATATTAAAGTAAAACTTAATTAATCCTTAGATAAGCAGTTGATATAACTTTCCTTAGAAGCAATCAAAAGGACATTAAGAGACTTACTAAGACTCTGATCAGATAAGCTGAGCGAATGGGCTACAAGTAAATGAAGATAAAACAAAATGTATGATAGTAAGCCAAAATTTCACCTTGACTGGACCAGTGTAGAAGAGAAATCATTTCCAAGAGTAGACTAATTGAAATACCTCAGTAACCTTAATAGTCTGTAGTACAGACCCCTTTTTATCAAATTGTTAACATCTGTCTGAAACTTGGTGAATAGCTTCAAAAATTTAGCTCGAAATCAAGAAAAAAGGTGGCCTATAAAAATATTGGGCCATTTTGTCTATATAACTTCATTATTTTGAAATTTTAGGGGTGTAGGTCATGCCAAACAGCTTAATATTTTTGAATGCCACCTTTTTTCTCGATTTTGTTCTCAAATTATCATGTGATTGGAGTGAAAAGCAAATAGGTATTTACAAGTTTTTAGTGCCTAATTAAATAGACAAAGTTTGCCAATCTCCAAATTGAAAACGCCCCAATTCCAAGAATTTTCATTAATAAAATAATTTTTGATTACGATGAGACGAAGCTATTTACAAAGTTTCAGGCAGACGTTAATAATTTAATAAAAAGGGGTCGGTACCACCGACTACAATAAATGAACAAAGGCCAGAAATAGACCAGTATATAACAAACAGAATTTCTTCTTTGTTTCATAGGAATTAAAATCTCTACAAATTTCAAATTAAGGTTGTACATTGTTATGAAAAAGCTAGTTTTGATATAAAATTATAAAACCTGGGAGGGAGTGGGGTAGATCAATGGGTAAGACACTCATTTCCTATGCTGAAGGTTCCAGGTTTCAGTTCGGCTGTGGCAGATAATTTATTCTGTTACATCAACTATGGATCAATCCTAAGATTAGAACACTGTCTTAGGGCACACTCAGTCTCTATATAGTGAGTACTCATAATTAAAATAATTATTATGGGGGAAAAACGTGCTGGTTAAGGGTGGTAATACCCAATCCCTTCCCTGTATAGCAGTTGGCTTTGAAACAGTACTTTCTTCCGAAATACGGAACCTAAGATCCTTCATTATTTGTTGTGGTACAGACAACGAGACCTGAACACTAACCAGCACTCTCTAAAAAATATATATTGAAAGCTGTTTGAGAAAAATCCTCCGCATGATAACTGAAATGATCTGGAATCAGAGAACTAATGAATGAAAGGGAAGAAATAATAATTTTTTCATTTCAAAATATTTGTTTCCTTTAAAAGTTAAACTTTTTTCCCTATAATTTGTGATGAACTTTGTTTTTCCACACAATACATTTGTTGTGATAAAGCTCACAATATTTGTGGTATTATTATAATTTTGTAAAATAATAATTTTTATTTTACTTATTCAACTATATTACTTTTTAACCATAACATTAGGAATAGAATTTATTTTTTATGGTTTTTATGTTCATAAAAATCCAGTCACTGCTTATGACATCGATTCACATCTGTATGAGTAAGTTTTTCTGTACTTATTAACAAAAATGATTCATTTATACGAAGACAATTTGCATACAAATGTGAATTTGTTGTCAAAATTCAAACTAAAATTTATTTTTGAACAAAAAAAAATAAATAGCTCACCCTTACAGCCAGAGATTAGGAAAGGGGGCATGGAGGCATCAACACAAAATTAAAACACAACCATTATACTCTCATTTTGAGACTTCGTCAATTTTATTCTTTTCAAAACGAGAAAAGAAAGTAATCAGATACACTGTTATCCCCCCTCTTTGTTGTGAGTAAATTATTATCACCCCTTGTCTATATTAAAGTCTCTGGAAATCCCAAATTTCTACAATACAATGCGATAAGATAATTTACCTCTTCATCTTTCTGTAAGAGTAATCTGTCAGTCTCGGTGAAATTTCCATCAGATGGTGGTATGACAGAATCACGTTTCAGTTTGCTATAACACAAGCATTAATAATAATTAATTATTGTGCATAAAATTTAGGCTAAATTAAATAATAAAATAACTCTAAATCAAAATGTGATAACACATTGAAGCTGAGATTATACCTTATTAATTATAGCATCCTCTGTAACACCTGAGTAATTAATTTTGTTATAATTATCAAATATTATTTTGTAATTTTTTAATGTATTTATTCTTGGTATACTTGTTGGTTGACAAAACAGATTGCAAAAAATAATCTCTATTATATCTTCGTCAATTCCTATTTCCTTCTCACACCTTGCCTATAGATCTAATTTTATAAAACAAACATTTTTTATTTTTAGTGTTATTTCTTATTTCTACTTGAATGTTTGACATTAACCAAACTTAGTCTGAGACTAATCCAATACCTGCTGACTAGGAGGGCAAAGGATTCTCCAAAAGTCAAAGTAAAAATAAAAAAATATATATACAAATTACAAGTATTTTTGTATGTTATGTGAGAGAATAGGAATAAAGGGGAGAGATTTTTATAAGAAAGGGGTGGTTAGTGGTTGTGGAGAGTTCAGAGTGGAAAAGGCTGCATATTTTGGGGTTGTATAGATATTAAACAGTTTAAGTATGGTATTGTGTTGGAAATTATTGAAAAGGTTTTTTTTTTATATGCCTGGATATTGGCTTGGTGATATTATAGATTAGATAGAGAGAGGGATTGGTGAATTAGGTTTTTGGCAGTACTGATTTTTCGGTGTTATTTTTCGTTAATTTTTCGGTGTTAAGAGTAATTAAGAACTCTGCCTGAGTAAATGGGTTTAGTAGATACATAGAAAACAACTTTATTCTGTGTGAAAATAAAACACTATTTCTGGCCTTAAAATTTGAAACAATAAATAAAATTTAAAAAATGTAAAGAAAATCTTAAATGAACAAGCTATATACAAAGCAAATAAAGCTATGAACAAAACACTTCAACAACACAATATACAATACACAATTACACAACAAAGAACACAAATACACAAAGAACAAAACACTATATACTATGGTAGAACACCATAAATATCCACATCAAAAAAATAAAAAAATAAATTAAATTCTTCTGCTAAATAAGCATAAAGGTTCTATTAAAAAAAATAAAAGTTGCATCTGGCAATATAAACCTAATTATATAAATGCTGAATAATATTTAAATACATCATAAGAAGAGCGTTATCTTCTGTTATGGAAGATATGTGTAAGAGTTTAATTGTATATAAGAAAAAATATTGGTAATAATTAAAAAAAATAGACGTATCAAGTTGCATCGAAAGTAGGAAATTCATGTAATATTCCTAGCAAAGAACAGTATTATCATATGATGATAATTGAGATGAAATATGTGTATATTGTCAATAGTTAGCAGATATCTGACTGTTTTTGGAATAGGAGGTTTTTGAATATGGATACGGAGGGGGCATGGCGAATTGCTGATAGGGGGAGAATTCCAAAAATTTGCAGATTTGGTTACAAAGGAATGAAACAGATCTATAAGAAGGGGTGTATAGGTCAGAAGATCGAGATTTTGTGGTTAGGGGATGGACTTAGGACTTGAATTGGAGAAGGTTGTAGGAATTAGAAGGACGATGATTGTTGATGATTTGATAAAGGAATGTGCTTAGAAAATTTGTTTTCTAAAGGGGAAAGAGACACCCTAACTCTGTGTAGTGTTGGGAGACACTGGAGCGTCTCGAGATTCCAATTACAAATCTTATGAAGCTATTCATTAATCTTTTCAGTTTATCACGAGGTTTCACTGTTCACCGAGAGGCCATCGTATACCACACAGCTGTAGTCAGCAGTGCACATAGTACACCAGTTGGAAGATATAGAGACGTCAGTGTTTCTGGTGGTAAGGAGGTCTAAGAAGGAGAGTGAATGGTTAACTTCTTTCTCAATGGTGAAACGAACATGGGAGTGGTATGAGTTAATTAAAGAAACTATCATATGAATACTCTCAGCATTAAGAATCTTATTCTCAGAAAACATACAAAAATGCTTAAAATCCTCTATTCCAAACATATAATTTACAATTGTTTGTTTTGTTAAATTAGATCTATATGTGAGGAGTGGGGAGGAAATAAGTAATATTTGGTAATTAACTTTTCAATTACCTCCTTTCTCTCTGAGCTTGGTGGGACAACTGAGAAATACATTGAGCTCTAAAATTTTCATAGTGCACATCCTCAGTGACGTCCTTCAGATCTTGCATATGCGTTGTAATCAACATATTCCTCAACTTGTTGAAATCACTATGTTTAGGATTTTCAACTGGAAAAACAACAAAAAATATAGAAAATAGAAGTAGAAAAAAAATATATGACAAAAACCACTTGACTGTTTTCTTTTCCTTTAAATAAATTTGTGTTTGATTCATTATCGAAGTGAACCCTAGTTATCATTGTGAAATTTTTAGGAAAAGCAAAAACTATTTGAATTACTATATCAAACCAATATATTTTAAGAAATAAATTTAACTATTTTTTATTTTTAGCACGTATTTCAAAAAATCACAGATTATTTTAATAGTAATGAAAAACATTGAAACCTTAATAGGGTTGTATTTGGAAAGAATTAAACTTTAGTGTCCATTTTCGAACAAATAAATATTGGTTAGGGGAGAAATAATGGTGGGGGTGAAGTTATAAAAATTAAATTTTTTTACAATAATTGTGCAATAATTTTTTTTTTTTTAAATATAACAGTTATATTTTTATGTTTGAATGTAACAGTTAAAAAAGTAGATAAAGAATAGTCATGAAATGCAAGTTTCACAACGTTCCTTGGGGGAAAAAAATGGCCGATTTCAGAAATAAACTTATTTTCACACCATCTTTTTTAATATCTAGGTATGTTTTTCAAAAACATCACACCTTTGGATTCATTCAGTATTTTTATAGGAAGAATTGATACTCATCTCGATTTCTAAACAAATTTTTTAGGATTCACTTTGGAAATAAGAAACCCATTTATCCTTCTAATTTTAAAGCTTAGCAGATGAAATTACCTTCAACAACTCCCCAAGGGTATTGCCTCCCACGCACTCTTGTACCGCCAACTTCGATTACGGTGTTACTTCCGATCACTGAAAAGGGAACTGCAGCTTTTAGTTCTCGGTCCTGTTGTTGAAATTCCTCATCTTCATCGCTATCACATTCAGGAAACTGATATATCTAAAGCAAATAGATGAATGGGAATGTTAATTAAACTTTTTTATATAATGCTATAAATTCATTATTTTAAACAAGTTGGTTTTCCAAGGGTTTCTAAAAAAAAAAAAAAATCAAGGAAATATACATATTTCAGATTCAATCCACTTATTTATATTATTTTAAATTAATTGGCCTATGTAAATAATATATTGGTCAGTGAATAAATGATAATTTAAATAGATTCATTATATTATGAAAAGTAGAAATTGTAGTAGACAGCCCCCTGTATTTACTCCTTTATGTGACATTGCGTGAGGGAATGAGAAGGAATATATACGAATGTGAGGTTGCACTGTGAATTGTACTCAATTATGCAGTGGACAAATTATCCATGAAAAAGTCTCATATCAATAAACAATCGATGAAGAAGGAAACTGGAAAAAAGAGAGCAGATAGCTAGCAACAGCTGGAGGGGCACTTGAGGCGGAGCGACATACCTGGGAAGATAGTCTACTACAAGATTCAGAAGGTCAAGTCTATAGTTATAACACTTTAATAGAGTCAATTTATTAGGGGGCGGGGTGGCCGAATAGGCTAAAGCATGTGTAACAGCACCGCTAGTTGCCTGGCAACCGGATAACAGAGATTTGAGATGATATAAAAAGTACGAGTTCGCGTCCCGGTGCTGGAGGAGATTTTAACTTTCCCCGCCCTCACCCCCCGGCCCGGGAAAATCCCGTATAGCCTAAAAGGCGAGGTAGGGAAGAACAAAAAATAAATAAATAAATAAAAAATAAACAAAAAAAAAAAAAAAAAATTTATTAAAGTTGTAGAAATAAATTATTTGTTATACAGGAGTGAAAAGTCATTTATTTATTTAGTTGTCCTATATTCCTCACGATTGAAAAATAACAAACCAGGTGAGAATTCATTCAAAGTGTGTTTATTAAGTTCCACATTTCATATATGTATTCTTATTGTTTCTTCTCACTCAGTATCACAAAGGTATTAGATTCCCGAATCCCCAACGACAGTGAAACACCCTCAAAAAAGTCTATATCCAGTGCCAGGGTTTTGTTTTAATAATCAGGAGTGTAAATAACCTAGTCCCCCGATAAACGGAAGGAATATTTACTATTACCGCCAAAACTAATTATTAACATTTAACTTTATTTGGTTATTTACAAAATTAATTTCTCTAATAATATATGCTATAATATGTTGCTATTATAATAATAGTGTGATTCCAATATTTATTTTTATTTTTGAAACTTTTAAGCCTTTATCAAAGATTCAATCCCCAATTCGTCCTGTCTCTTTTTTTTTATTTTTTTTTTTTTGTTCTTTCCTAATACATATATTAGGCCATACACTATTTTCCCAGGCTAGAGGGGTAAAAGCGGGGTATTTAAAATCCCCGCTTGCACCGGGATTCGGACTTGGACGTTTTTAAATCTCGGTTATCTGGTTGCCGGGCAACGGGGTGCTGTGCACACACGTTAATTCATTCGGCCACCCTGCCCCTATTCATCCTGTCTCTATCCACCTACTTACCACTGAATCTAATCACTGACATGTGATATGTATCATTATTAAGGTGAGTTTGGATGGCTGCAAACCCTTTACTGTACATTCAAGATGGGAAATTTTAGGGTATAATGAATGCATTGGAACCTTACTGGGTTTTGTGACCTAGGTGAGTTCTTATACACATATACTTACACACTCACATATAGCCTATTGGGAGATTTTCTTATTTGGACTCAGAGTATTTAAAATATGTATTATCGTCAAAAACGTGGATTCTAACTTTTTTATGGCCACATTACCTTAATAATTAAAACTAATTTGTTACCTGGATTTGATGTTCTTCGATATCAGCAAGTATTCTCTGCTTCAACTTCCAGACTTCAGGACCTGTGAGAGTGTCTGCTTTAGCTATGACTGGAACGATGTTCACTTTCTGGTGTAATCTTTTCATGGTCTCAATATCAATCTGCCTCAATCTGTTAACATAAGAGTTAATAGTTATAACTATTAATGGACATTATTTAAAGTCAATTGTTTAATACATTTTAATATTTTTTGAGATATTAATTTTCAGAAATATTTAAAAAGATTTATTTGCATTTAAAAGAACTGTTAGTGACATAGTTTTATTAAAAATTTAATGGATTTAGTCATTTTCGTCACATCACAATATTTTTTTTTTATTATGGTATGGCAATGATTATCTATAGTTATTATTTAAGGAATAGTTAGTTGGAAGGGAAGAAGTGAGGTAGCAATTATACACCATGGTGTTGTAATATTTATTATCTGCCTACATTTCTACCTATGTTGTAGGCCTTCATCAGGATTAAGAAGAACAAGATACAAAAAATGACTATCAATTGTTACATGGCACAAAAAAAAAAAAAAAAAAATTGAAGTAACAGTTGATGTTAAATTAGTGGAAGGTATCAGATACAAGTTACATATTTATTTTCTTATATTATTATATTATTTTCTTATATACTATTTGTCATTCTTGCTCTCTTAAGTTTTGGAACTGGTATCTAATATCTTGTTCCAATTTTTTTTTTTATCTTGTACCAGTTGAAATTTGTCTTATTATTTTTAGCTCTAATGAAGACCTACAACATAAACTATAAATAAATATTATACCAATGTATTGTGTGATTTTTTATCATACCCCCTGACTATATATATCATAAATGGTTTTTTAAAATAAACATGTTAGGGAACACCAACAGAACAAGTCAACAATTATTTATAAACATATCTATTGAATGTTATATCAGCTAAACTTAGATTTCATAAATATTTTTAAAGTAAGAGATTAAAAGTTGATTTATAATTTACCCATGGCCATACGGTGGGATGAAGTATAAACAACAATGAACCCTGTTATCTTGAATATTCTTGCGATTCAGTCCGCTCTCATCAGTAAAATATTGTCTAAACTGGTCGTCTATATAGTTCACGCACACTTTCCAGCTTTCTTCTGAATTAAGGGCATCACCAAAGCCTAATAAATGAGTAGATTAAATTTAAAATGATTTTCTTGTTGAATAAAATTGTATATCACTCCTATAAAAAAAAGCTATATTTACCTGGAGTATCAACTACAGTCAGTCGAAGTTTAACACCTCTTTCCTCAATATCCATAGTCTTCTTTTCGATTTTAGTCGTCTGTTCCATCTTATCTGTTAATAAAGATAAAAACTCAGCATAATATGGACTACTGGAATTTTATACTTGAAAAATTTATTGGGTTGAAACATGAAATTTTATTCTTTGTCCAAAGGAACTTTTTAGCTTTCAGAAATTAAAATTTTACCTCACTATCATTATGAAATATTTTTTATTTTGTAAAAATAGTAGTTGGAGGCAATTCTGATGAATCATATTGATCTGAATTGTCTCCAACGAGTAGATGTAGTAGAACTGTCATTTTCATATCATGTGAAGTTTTGTTAAAAAGGTTTTCCACTACATAAAATTCTTAACTGATTTTTAAGTTACAATTGGAAGCCAATATTATTATCCTATCATGTTTGATCTTCCCTCCATATGTAAATATATACATTATATCCCAAAAATTATAAATAAATATATTTTTCAGTTGTTTACATGTTATTTAAATTAATGCTTACTTTACTTTTCTCTACTTACTTTAATTTTTTTTTCTTTCTCTCTCTCTCTCTCTCTCTCTCTATATATATATACATACATATATATATATATATATATATATATATATATATATATATATATATATATATATATACATATATATATATATATATATATATATATATATATATATATATATATATATATATATTTGTATAATGTTTTCCATCATGATTATAATTGGTCTTGAGAAGATTGTTTTTTTTTTTTTTTAGTTGTTTGCATATTATTATTTAAATTACTGTACATATTGTTAGCATTTTTATTAAGTTTGTTTTTGGCCAGATACCTTTTTTTTTTTTTTGTTCATTATTGTTATTCTTAGGAGACCTTTTTCCAAAATAAAGTTTATTTTTCTATCGGAAACAAATTTATATAATTTATTTCATTAGAGAATCTTAACATTTGGACCAAAACTCATAATTTGGTGGTGAAAAGAAGTTTTACATCAGCATATTCTTTACCATTATAAAAACTTAATTTTTTTTCTGCTCCAACTGATGTGCCATGGTCAAAATGGTAAGATTCTGTAATAAAAAAAAAAATCATCTTAGTTACCTTAATTTCAACACTAATTCTAACTTAAAAAAAAAAAAAAAAAAGATTTCGATCCATTGGCTCCTGATACTGTTGTATATAATAATTATTATATAATATTGATATTTCAAAATCTAAAAATTTTGCAAAAAGGAATGCTTAAAACAAAAAAAAAAAAATTAAAATCTTATGGATTTTTAGTACTAGAGACCGGATTTTGCACGACATTGCACATTTTAACCTTTTCGAGCTTAATTGCACGTTTTTGGTTTGTTTTTTTTCATGATATTGCATATTTTAAAATTTAAGGACTAAGTTTTAGTTTTAATTGTCTAATGTAAAATACTTGTATCACATTTCCTTTATAACGTGTCCATAAGTATGTATGTAAATATTTATTTATTTTTATTATATATTGTATTAGGTTTGAAGTTAAGAACAAGGGTATCCAACCATGGACCGCATAACGCTGCAAATAGCTTTTAAATTTTTTGTTCTTAATTTTTTTAATCAAAATAACATTTTCAAGTTAGTTTTCTGGAATAAAAAGATATTTTATAGTATAAAATTTATACTAGTAGTGTTTGATTTTGGTAATAAAATTACTATTTAACAACACACATTTTATTATAAAAATAATCGTTTAATTGGGGGCAACATATTTAATAATTTAATTCAATGGAAGTGAATATAGTCACATACGAAGTTTACAAACTCTCAGTTCTGTTTTTCACAGTTCTAAAACGTATAAATTTATTTTCCAGTTTTCAAACAAATAAGTATTAAATTATTTGTAAACATAAGTTTTATTTCCGCTTGGCTGAATTTTCTTTGACAAAACACCACCAGGTTACCCCAGGAACTATGGATTTTAATAAAAGCTAAGGAACTTAATTCAAAATCTACCTGTTTTAAAATTTAAATTGATCTAAATTCGTAAAACCAAGCCTCAACTCAAAAATGCACGTTTTAATAAAAAATGTATGATTAATTTGTAAGCTGTTTTTTCTTTCATACAGAATTAAGTTAATTGTCGTTCATTTTAAATTAGAATTAAATTTTTCTCACTTACGACACATTATACCAAACTTCAATTTACAGAATATAACTGTTTACAAAAGAGTAAACAATCATTAATATTATAAATTAAACAAAAACTATTATCTTTCATGCTATGTGTACAGTTTTACACTTTTTTGGGTTTTTACTTCATGATTTTTCACATTTTGGGTATTATATTGCACGTTTTTCTGATTTTTACTTCACAAAAATCCGGTCTCTAGTTATTACATTTAAATATAACATGAAAACAATAACTTACCCTGCACATCGGGTATGATGCGGTCCTTGTACAGATCACTCAGGAAAAGGGAGTTGACCAGGGTCGACTTGCCAAGACCAGACTCTCCGATGACCATCAGGGTGAAGTCGAATCCTCTCTTGACAGACTTCCGGTGGATCTGCTCCGGAAGAGTCGCAAATCCGATGTAGTCCCTGTCTCCCTGGGACACAACACACACACCTCACGGGGGATAGATCTCATGGCAATGGACACTCTGATCGCATTACTCTAAATCATACTAAATTATAAGAAATTCTAAACTAAACTAGAACTTATAACTTTCATAACAAATAATTCAATGGCTTGAATTATAAGTTATGAATCGTTAAAACGAATTATAGATACATATATTATATATATATAATATCAATAAATCAAATCAGATATCTTAAAAAAAATGAAGAAAATTTATACTAATTAGAATTCAATATACATATCGTTAAGGACACACAGCAAAGTTCCTATTTAATTTAATTTAAATTAAATGAAAAGGCAAGCAGCCCTGCTGCCATCTCTTGGCAGGTAAGAGAAACACCAAGAGAGAGTCTAGACATGCAGAGTTCCCGGAAGATTCATACCTACTTACATATGGACCCATTATAAAAGATTTCACCAAAAGCTTCAAGGTCACCCCAATTGACCAAGAAAAACATGTGCAATCACATCCAAAGAAGGCTGAGAAGGAGCTGGATGAGGGACCTCCTTGAGTAATAAGATAAAGGAATAAAGATAAGCCACTGGATGATTCTCTTCCTCATGCCTATCATGCCCATTTTCTATTCTATAGTACTTCATTACTGTATTCGCTTCACATTTGCTGGTTTTAGGTGAACACTGACAGTTGTGAATTAAGCAATAAAGAGAAAAAAGGTCTACTTAAGACAAGAGACACAGCTGGCCAGCAGAAAAATTTACATTTGTGCTGATTTTCATAAGAAGAAAAATGGAGTAAATACTCTAGCGGCCCAGTAAGGGGTCTGGTGAGAAGGAAGAGAGAATACCAGAGTGCAGCAAGTACTAGCAATTAATTTTCAACCACCGTCCACCTAATTCACATCAGCTACAATAGGTTATAATATGCAGATCAAAATTGATTAAAATATTAATCAACATTGTAATAGATTTGGTCTTAATAACTCACATTATAATAGATATAAAATATAGTAATCCGTTTAATCCCATAGCTTACTTAAAATCAAATATCCTTACTTATACAATCCATAGCAGTTAAATAAGAATCAGTATAATATAATTATTAGCTCAATATCCCCATTATTATTGTTGGTTTTCAATTAATTATTTTTCTTTTAGTTCCTTTAAAAATTACAATATAGATTTATTTCCTTTAATAACAAATCCTTTACCCATATAAACTCACTAATTTTTAGCCTATCATCCGAATTAAAATTTAGAAAAATACAGTTACTGGAGTAACAGAATATCAAATTACATAATTTTTTTACAGGAATAGAGGTGAATCTCAAGTCTATTCTAAAGAAAACCTTATCATCTTAGTCCGTGGTACAGATCCTTTTTTATCGAATTATTAACATCCGCCTGAAACTTCGTAAATAGTTTCATCTCATCGTAACCTAGAACTATTTTGTTTACGAAAACTCTTGGAATTGGGACGTTTTCAATCTGCAGAGGAACAAACTTTTTCTATCTGATTAGGTACTAAAAACTCTTAAATACCCATTTGCTTTCTACTTGGTTTGTAAGATAATTTGATCATAAAGTCGAGAAATAGGGTGGCCTACAAAAATATTGGGCCGTTTGTTCTATATAACCTTGTTATTTTGAAAATTTGGGAGTGTAGGCCAAGCCAAACGGCTCAATATTTTTGAAGGCCACCCTTTTTCTCGATTTTATGATCAAATTATCTTACAAACCAAGTAGAAAGCAAATGGGTATTTACGAGTTTTCGGCACCTAATTAAATAGACAACGTTTGCCTCTCTCCAGATTGAATACGCCCCAATGAGTTTTCGTAAATAAAATATTTGTAGATTACCATGTGATGAAGCTATTTACGACATTTTAGGCCGATGTTAATAATTCGATATAAAGGGGTCTGTACCACGTACTATCTGTAGGATGATACAAAATCATCACAAATAATCCATGATTTAATGAAAAACATAACATAGCGTGGTTTGGCCCCTCAAATGTTCTCTTAAAATGGCTGTGACAAAGACAAATTCTACTTCTAATTGAAGGAATTTTGTTTGGTTTACTATGAAACAATTTTCAATTACCTTAATTAAATGATTTCTGTTTAATCGATTCCTATGAGAGAGAAAACGTGACGACATTAAGAAAAGACAAAATTGGGCTTTATTCCTTAAGCATACATAGAATGAAATTTTTGTTGGGAATTTTGTCTAGAATCACCTCCCAGGCTATTAATAACTGAGACATTCTGCATACTTAAGTGATAAAAATTATAAAATTAAGTGCAAAATTCATGAGGTATGCAAGATTTATATTTTTTTAAAATATTTATTATTGAATAATATATCTTTTATAACATAATTTGTATATATATATATATATATATATATATATATATATATATATATATATATATATATATATATAATATATATATATATATATATATATATATATATATATATATATATATAGTCCGATGTATAGATCTCTTTTTATGAAATTATCATAAAAAAACTTTATGAATTGCTTCATTTTATCATCAACAATCTTGTTATCTACGAAAATTCTCGGAAATGGGGCGTTTTCAATCTGGAAATCGCCAAACTTTATTAATTTAATGAGGCAATACAAGTTCATGAACACTCATTTTCTTTCTACTTCGAAATTAAGGTAATTTGATAAAAAAAAATATTGGTCCCTCAACATGTCGAAATAACAGTTATCTGGGCCAAATTGCACAGTATTTTTGTAGGCCACCTTTTCTGCTAGATTTTTTTTATCAAAATATCTTACGATTCAAGTGGAAAGAGAATGAGTCTTCATGAATTTTTAGTAAGTCATTCAATTAATTCATGTAATTATAAAATGTCCCCTTTCTGAGAACTATGACAGATAAAATTTTTTACCTAATTATAACTTTTATTATATTATATTTTATTTATATAACTTTTATAACTCAGGATAAAATTAAGCCAAAGTTTTAGAACAGTGGTAATAATTTGATAAACATGGCGACTCAGGATTACTCGTGTCTACCAAAAAACCTTTTTTTATGTGATCATTCGTTTAGACTGATGTTTGAGGGATGGTAATCATTAAAATTCCTTACGTTACAAAATTTTGATCGAAGAATCAATTTTTGGCACAGCGTTTAAGAACAACGGACCTTCTGAACTCTCTCCCAGAGCAGTTATACGGTATTCCCCTTAAGATATTAGTATTCAACACATGTTAGGGTTGTCGAGTTCGCTATCTGCTTCTACATCGGGAAACCACTTCGGTGCTGACCCCAGCACAACTCTTAAATCTTATTAAGGTATTACCATGTTTTAAACAGAATTAGCTTCGATTAGAATCGATAGTCCCGGACGGCACACACTGGGGCAAATTCAATTTTTCTTGGACATCGGTTCTAACTACATCAGAAATTGCTCAAATTTTGTCTGTTTATGTATTTGAGGATATTAAATCTGAACTCAAGTCATTTAATCAACCAGATGCATGCATTAAAAGCAAAATAACGAAATATTAATTTTTATTTTATCTTTGTAATATTTCTGTTTAAAATTTATGTGAGTACATATGAAATGTCACGGTTGCACCACAATAATCTTCTAATATAAAATAATTATTGATCAAATAAAATTTCATAAAAATAATTTTCAACTCACTCTTAGAACGTAAAATTTTCTTTTCCTTTGATATTGTACATTTAATCAATTCCTAAACATGATGTCATGAAATCGGAATCTATTAAGAGATTTTTAAATATGTTTCCGCTATTATCAATCATTGACTAGATAGATCTATAGGAACTATAAAAGTTCAATCTGTCAACTGATATACTTAATTAATTATTTTATTTCACTATATGAAATTAAATATTGTATTTATTCAAATGTTATCAAGTTAATTTATCAATACAAGTATAATACGGCCGACCCTGTCGTATGGTGCACCTGTGTTTGATCATGTCAGAAAAAGAACTGAGAAAAGATTACCATATTTCCATAATGGAACAATCAGAAAAATAGTAACAGGAGGAACCACGACGCAGAGAATGAAAACATTTGATATACAAACAGCGCTAAATTTATCAACAGTAAAAGAATTTCTCGCAAAACGAAAAAAAATCATTTTTCGAAAAGTCTTAAGAATTGGCAAACCCTCTTTTCAACAACATATTACCAGCCAAAATTCCAAAACGTTGGCAACAACTTAAATAAGATAGGTGTTTTATTAATTTAGTTGTAAGCTCTAGAGGATAAGGTCAACTCAAGCCTGAAGTGAGCCCCACAGGCGGATTTACGGGGGGGGCTTTCGGGCTGAAGCCCCCCCCCCCCAAAATGGTAAAATGTAACCATGTTTTATGGTAAAAAATATTAAAAAATTATGTCTTAAAGTATTATTGCTCGTTTAATTACATTTAATAGGACTTCAAGAATCACTTAAACACCATTTCATATAGGTAGTTAGTATATTTCTGTTTTTCCAAAGTTATTAGCGTTATATATATGAAAAAAAAGCTTCCGGGCTGAAGCCCCCTCCCCCAAAATTAAATCCTGGATCCGCTAGTGGTGAGCCCCATCACTTTTTATATTACAGATGTAGGAAAAATACTCAGAAACGACAAAAATCAAAATACACCTTACAATGCTTTTTAGCAGTAAAAGGATTATTATGAAGGCAGTGAAAATCCAAGGGTTCAAGACAAAAATAAATAAAAAAGGGTTATGAAAAAAAAATGTTAGTAATATTTTGAAACAGTTCTATTTTCATTTCAATGTTTTAAAATAAATATTCTATTAACAAAACATGTTTTAAAATTATTGTTCTAAATTATCAATTCCTATTTATATCAGACATTTTATGCTAAATAATACGCTTTTCGTACAAAATAATTATTTCAGGCAATATGAGTAATGCAAGTATAAGTAAAATAAATATTTGCAGTTGATACCAATAGATTGTTTAAAATTCATGT